GTGTGTGTGTGTGTGTGTGTGTGTGTGTGCATGTGTGCGCAGAAAGCTGTGATAGGCTGAGCAGCTGGCTGGCTCTTAGTGTCTCTGATTAGTAATCAGTCAGCATTGTGCCTGAATGCAGATTGTTGACAGGGCTGGATGGCGAGGTGGCCTTAACACTAAGAACCTCATCAGAGCCACAATCTCGCTTTTATTTGGCCTTGTTACATTTCTGATTGCGTATATTCAAATTGATTCTAATGGGAGGTTACATGGTTGGTCAACGGACATTAAAATCACGTGTATGTGGTCTGGTATAGGACAGAGGGTATCATTTGTTGTACGAATTATAGAGCTCGTTCGGTCAAATGTGTGATTTTGTGTTACTGTATGAACCAACTGTTTATGTAAAGTATTGAAATGAGGACATTTAGTTTGTAGATTTATGAATCTATGTTTATTTTTTGGGATATTATTTATCCCGTAACACACTATGTCCAAATGCTGCGTCTGCTCCAAATCTTTATATTTAATTGCTGTTTATTATGACATTTACTGTGGTTACTTTCACGCATGTTGTAAAATAATGATAAATTAAAAGTGTAAAAATACGACCCATCTTGTAATAAACCATGGAAAAAAAGTTCCTCCTCCACAGACCTTGTTTTCTCTATAAAGAGCACTGATTTGAATGATGCAAAGCAGCTCTGCATCTTATATAACACACGTCTACTCTTAATGTAGATGTGTTTCGTGTGAGTATACATAACCCAGAACATATGAAATACAGAGTTCATGGCTCACCACTGCCAAAAATAGTCTGCTTCAATTTGGCCTGTGATGAAGTTTTTCAAACATTTCTCATGCGTATTTGTTTTGGATAGGTTTTGGTCCATTATTTCAGCATTTTTCACTGTTGAAAAACATATGGCGATATTGATGAATACGACCTATTGTTGGAGGTATTATTTGTCATTCTGACTAGCTCGCGGTGATGGATGGGCGTGAGTGTATGAATGTGATTTATTGCACCGGGGGTAGTATATGGTTGTGTGAGGGAGTCTGTGTGAGAAAGTCTATTAAAATGACCTTGAGAGGAACTCCCACAACTGCCTGTATATAAACCAACAATGAAAGGTGAAGCTAATGAGCTGACAGAGTGTTTATATGTCTATTTTGGTATGTGTAATGTCTGGCAAGGTGCAATGCAACTCGTACTGCAGTGAAATGGAGACCTGCAATGTAAATGCTGAAATTCAGACATTTATTATGCCTATGTGTTTATGTTTTTCTCCCAATTCCGTACATTTGTAACCGTCTTCCTCCTCCACGTCTGTGTGTGGTAATGTTCTTTCAGTATACTGCCGAGAAAGGTCTGTCTGTTGACCACTGATCACCCCTTAATAAACCCACTTCATTAGACCACAGGCTCCCATTCATCAGTAGCCTGCTTACCTCCTCTATAGGAGCCTGGCTTAGACACACACCAATCATTTACCGCTAGAAAATGTGTGGCTTCCTCCCAGTGGGATGTCTGGGCCCAACTTGATGATTTATTTACAATTCTGACCGTGTGCTTCTGTGGCAAATGCTTGACTTTCAACGGAAGGATTACTTTTCGAAGCAAGGGCATTGGGCAACAAGCCTGGGTGTGACTTGGCAAATGTTATAAGCCATTGTGGCGTGCATAACAGATTACGACGGAAGTATCATTTAAATTCTTCTTGTTTATTGCCAGTTATTTTGAGAAATAGCCAATCTATCTATGGTATTAAAATATTATTTTAAGGCAATATGAATCATGTTCCTAGATGCTGGATAGAAATATGTTCCATAAATGTGCCATTTGCCATGTTTTTCATCAAGATTTGGTTCGATATACCTTTACTCAGAGGCTATTCACTTTAAATAAGCACATTTGTTATACTGTATCTCAAAAACAATAACGACATGTGAAAACAATGTCCCACAGAAATGCTTTCCACAGAGGCCACTAAAACAAACCCAAGCAGGAACTTAGTGAAAATAAATTACCTTAAAGGAACAGGGAAACTTTCCCATGAATAATATAGGAGCCATTCCGGGCACACAGATGGATTATGGGCTTCAGATTGACAAGGACGCCACTCAGAGGGGTTATTAGCTTAAAAGACCATACTGGCAGTTTTGCACATTTCAGTCCATTAACTACAAATCACATATACTTCACATCAGTGCTGACCATTTCACAATGCACACTGTAGGTTCGAATATTGATTTCCCACCTCTCTACTAATGCAGTTGTGAGCCGCTCTGCTTTTATCATTTTTGTTCCTATTAGTGCATTAGAGCAAACTTTAAAACTGGAAATGTAATATTTTTATTCAAATATGTGCCTTGTGGTGTTCTGGGTTGAGTTTGAACAAAGTAGCTTGTGAACTTTAGGATTATCAGAAATCACTGGTGTGCAAATAACTTTTTTGTCATTAATTAAGCTTCAGAGTGGTTCCCTCAGTTCAATTAATAATATTTGATTGACCAAACAATTAATCCACTAATCATTGCAACTGTACATCTTAGTTGACCAAAATGTAAACGTGAGACTTCTGCAATTACTTACTTTGCAGACACATTCATCTTTAAGAGCATGTCATGGTCTTTATTTGTCTAATTTTTGGTTGTATGTAGAGATGTCCCAATCCGATGACGTGATCGGGGATCGGAGCCGATCACGTGATTTTCAAAAGATCGGAATCGGGAGAAAAAAATCGGGGATCGGGATTTCTTTTTTCTTTTTTTTTTATAAATACTTTTTTTTTAATTTTGTATTCAATGTTACAAAACAAAAATGACCATGTTCAAGTCTTAAAGTCATCCTGAGGCCTTAGTTTTGGTTTCAAATTACAGAACATCATGTATGTGTTGCTTCTTTGGGGCTTGTTTTCATAGACCTGCTTATTTCTCTCAAATCTGGCAACAGAGTGGGCAGGGCGCAGTGTCTAATTGTAGCAGTAAGCTAACGAGTACTGAAAGCTTTATTTTGTTTTGATCCAATGCTGCACAACTGAACTGATCCAATGCTGCTGTGAAAGAAAGAAGCTATATCCATGTTGGATAGAATATCCAATTTAAATAAAAAAATAACCTTAAGGGACAACTTGAATGCTTTTTTTTCTCTTAATGCATTGCATAAAGATTGGATCGGGAAAAATCGGTATCGGCAAATTGTCAAAATCAACTGATCGGAATCGGATCGGGAGCAAAAAAAGGTGATCGGGACATCCCTAATTCAGGAGACAGATCAATAGAGTTTTATCTTCCCGGCCTAGGGCACATGTTCTACC